CTTTCGATGTGGGATTCCTTACCATATATAAGACACTTAAATGGGCTTATAACATATGGGCCTATATTGGAGACTTTTCCAATTCACCCAAATTAATTACAACGGTCCACATCATTAAATAACATATTTAATGATCCAAATACATCAATTAATTCCAACATTATGATTAAGCCTAATTCCAAACCTGAGAAGAATAATGAATGAACAAAAATATCAAGAATGGCATACAAATACATAAATTTATCGTGGTTTGCCTTTAATGTGAAAGCTACGTTGACCTTCAGCTATGGATTCTATTGTTCTTGCACCACCCCAACACCTCAAACTCCTTCAATGATTGTAGAAATCTGGGTCGACATGCGGTTTGGTATAAGAGAAAAATATAATTAATCTCTAAACATTTTAACAATAGGTACTTTTTAGTGTTAACTTTTATGATACTGTATTCGATTCCTAAAAAGTGTGGGGATTTCTTTTGTAGTTCTTTAGGTTACTTTTGAGTGTGATTTTCTTATTTTTTTCATTGGAATAGACTCAAGGATTTGTGTTGAAAATTACAAGTTAGAATTATTTTAGCATAAATTTCATGGTTAGAAGAAAAAAATAAAAATAAAATAGAACCACATTTAGAGACTTGTTGAAATTGAGACGCATAAATGGAGTTGGTGGAGTGCCTAAACTGAGTGACATTTGTGTTGAAAACTACGGCAAGTTAGATTTATTTCGGCTCAACAATTCAAATCTTGTTCTCATGATTATTGTAACGAGTAGGTTCAAAATTATCAGCCACTTTAACCAACAAAAATAGAAATAATAATGCACAAAATACTGAAAAATAACAAGTAAAGAACACGTGATTTTCGCCCTAAGGCAAGATGTTCAAAACAAAGTTCCTAATTCCCTTTTGAACTTCCGTCAACTGGAAGAAATCATTATATTATCAAGAATCAAACTCTGTTCCAGGATTACACCAGACACTCAGACGAATCACACAAGATTACATCAAAGAAGAAAAAACCCTCAAACTGATCGAAACAGCAAACTACCCAAGGATGCAATACTAGCCCTTTACAGATCACACAAGATATATACAAGGACTGTAGAAAAATGGGGACACCACATCACCACCACCATCGACACCACATCACCAC